CATCCAGCGGTCTTGGCTCTGGTTCCTCCCTCAGCAGTGGAGTTAGTTCCGGTTCTTCCAGTGGACAGTTCCAATCAGGTGGTAGCTCTGGTGGGCAACTCCAATCAGGTTCACTGGGCAGCAGTGGATCTGGATTTGGATCCTCCAGTGGAAGCAGCAGTGGATTTGGATCAAGTTCTTCACTCAGTGGTGGATTCCAGTCTGGCTCATCTGGTGCTGGAGTTAGTTCAATTTCTTCCCTTAGCAGTGGATCACAGTCTGGTTCTACATTTGGATCATCATCTGGTTCTGGTATTAGTTCCACTTCCTCCTTTGACACTGGATTCCAGCCCAGTTCTCTATCTGGTTCTGGATTTGGTTCAAGTTCTGGATCCCAGTCTGGTTTCTCATCTGGACTGGTAGTGATTCCAGTCTGGTTCATCATCTGGTTCTGGATTTGGTTCAAGTTCTGGATCCCAGTCTGGTTTCTCATCTGGATCTGGTAGTGGATTCCAGTCTGGTTCATCATCTGGTTCTGGAATTGGCTCCACTTCTTCCCTTGCAGTGGATTCCAGCCCAGTTCTCTATCTGGTTCTGCATTCGGTTCAGGTTGGATCCAGTCTGGTTTCTCATCTGGATCTGGTAGTGGATTCCAGTCTGGTTCTGGAATTGGCTCCACTTCTTCCCTTAGCAGTGGATTCAGCCCAGTTCTCTATCTGTTCTATTCGGTTCAGGTTCTGGATTCCAGTCTGGTTTCTCATCTGGATCTGGTAGTGGATTCCAGTCTGAATTGGCTCCACTTCTTCCCTTACCAGCGGATCCCAGCCCAGTTCTCTATCTGGTTCTGCATTCGGTTCAGGTTCTGGATCCCAGTCTGGTTTCTCATCTGGATCTGGTAGTGGATTCCAGTCTGGTTCATCATCTGGTTCTGGAATTGGCTCCACTTCTTCCCTTGGCAGTCGATTCCAGTCCAGTTCTCTATCTAGTTCCCATTCGGTTCAGATTCTGATCCCAGTCTGGCTTTCATCTGGATCTGGATTTGGTTCCAGCTCTTCCCTGGTAGCGGATTCCAATCCAGTACCCCATCTGGTTCCGGATTTGGTTCAGTTCTGGATCCCAGTCTGGTTTCTCATCCGGATCTGGATTTGGTCCGGTTCCTCCTTTGGTAGCGGATTCCAGTCTGGTTCATCCGGTGCAGGATTTGGATCAGGTTCTTCCCTTGGTGGTGCATTCCAGTCTGGCTCATCTGGTTCTGGTTTTGGATCAAGTTCAAGTGGATTTGGCTCAGGTTCCTCATTCCTCAGTGGATCACAGACTGGTTCCTCTTTCGGAAGTGGATTCCAAGTTGACCCTCTGCCAGCTGATGGAGTATTTGAGCCTCTGAATCTCCCTGCTGAAGCCTCTCAACTACTGGGAAGAGTCTCAACCTCCTTCTCCTTGCGCTGACCGTCCCTATGGATATTACGCTGACGAGGAGAACTCCTGCCGTGTTTTCCACATCTGTTACCCAGCTCGTTTCTCTCCACTGTGCTATCGAAACCTATCAGTACAGGTATGTTCTATAATATTGCATAGTGAATTGATATATTAGCTATATATAAATATATATATATATAGATAGATAGATAGATATTAATCAGGCTTATTTTTTTAAAGATTATGATCTGAAGTATGATTTTGAGATTTTACACATCATCTGTAAAGCTATGAATACATGATTGGTTACTCTTTTTACTAAAGTCTGATTTTCAGAAGCTGCATTTTAAGACAATGCAAAAGTAATATAAAAATGCCCTATTTGTTCTCCAGCTTCCTGTGCGGTGAGGGTTCTGTATTCGACCAAAAGGAACTTACCTGCAAGGTCCAGTCTGATGCTGTCCCATGCCAGGAATCCTCTAGTTACTACTACACAAACGAGCAGTTCGGTCGCCCTGAAGAAAAATCGCAATAAGTCTGCTGAAGAAGACGACTTTTCTGCCGACACAACGAATGTATATTTATTGATATTAAATAAAGTTTAAGTATTACAATTTCTCTCTCAGTTATGTCCATATCAAACATGATTCAACTATCACGGAAACTATTAGAAGGGATTTGTAGATCACTTAGACTAGGCTAGTCATGTAAATTCAAAAAATGATTAATACAGTAATAAATGAATAGTAATAATCATAATAAAATCAGGCTGGAACGAAACTGTTCTACTTCATGGTACATTAATACATGCTTATAAGGATTAGAACTAGAATCTATGGAAATATTTGGATAACACATATACGAATAACACATACATACAATGTTCGATACATATACTGTATAGCTTTAGTTATAGATCTATATAATTTGAAAAAAGAAACATCTTGTTTGTCTACTTTCATTCGATTCTATTAGATGGATTTTTTAAAATCTAACATACCACATATATCCATATTAAATTATTAAACAAGTCCCTATAGTGTCAGATGTAAGATGAAAGGCAACTTTAATATTCCTACATGCTGAAAATGCAGTAGTTTAGTTCTATATCATATGCTTTATGTGTCTTTTAGTTAATATAAGGGAACTTCGAACATTAATTTCTGCACATGTTTATTCAGTTAATATTTGACATAATGCTTATTTAATTTTCAGCTCCAGACTCAGCTAGCTGCTCTCTCAAGTGCAGGGATCAGAGTCTCAGCAATTAA